AAAACAACCTAATTGTATGAAAATTGTCAACATACAACCCCATGAGAATAGAAGCTCCCTGAAGGCAGGCAAAGCATTATTCATTTTTGCGTCTCTCCCTGGTGTACCTCGTGTAATGGACAGCCTCCCTCCCACCCAGTTGCCTTGAAATGTAATTAAAACACAGCTCTGCGTAAGTTTAAGGTATACAGCATAGTCACTTATATATATATATTATGAAATGATTACCAAAGTAAGTTGTGTAAACATCCATCATCTCATATAGATACACATACCCAAAAAAGGGAAAAAAATGCTTTTTCCTTGTGATGAAAATTCAGGATTTACTCCCTAAACAACTTTCAGATATACCGTGTAGCAGTGTTAGGTACAGTCATCATGTACATTACATCACCAGCACTTAGTTATCTTGTAACTGGAAGTCTGACCACCTTCATCCACTCCCCCCAAACCCCACCTCTGGTAACCACAAGTCTGATCTCTTTTTCTATGTTTGTTTTTGGTTTTTAGATTCCACATGTGAGATCATATGGTATTTGTCTTACTCTGGCTGACTTACTTCACTTAACATAACGCCCTCAAGGCCCATCCATGTTGTCACAAATGGCAGGATTATGGCTGAATAATATTCCCTTGTGTGTACACACACACACACACACACACACACACACACACACCTTACAGCTTCTTTATTCATCCAACATTGGGACAAAGATTGTCTTTTCTATTGTAAATAATACTGCTATGAACACGGGGGTGCATATATCTCTCTGACATTGTGTTTTCATTTCCTTTGGATATGTTCCCAGAAGTGGAATTGCTGGATCACATGGTAATTATAGTTTTTATTTTTTTTGAGGAACCTCCATACTGTTCTCCATAGTAGCTGAACCAATTTATAATCCCACCAACAGTGCACAAGGGTTCCCCTTTGTCTGCATCCTCTCCAGCATTTATTAGACCGTGGGCAATCTTGTCTTTTTTATAGGATAGTCATTCTAACAGGTGTGAGGGGATATCTCATTGTGGTTTTGATTGGCATTTCTTTAATGATTAGTGATCTTGAGCATCTTTTCATGTATTGTTGGCCATGTGTTTATCTTCTTTGGAGAAATGCCTATTCAGGTCCTTGGCCCATTTTAATTAGATTACTACTTTTTTTTTTTGCTATTGAGTTGTATGAGTTATTTATATATTTGGGGTATTTAGTTCTTATCAGATATTTGATTTGCAAGTATTTTTTCCCATTCTATAAGTTGTCCTTTCATTTTGTTGACCATTCCTTTGCTGTGCAGAGCTTTTTAAAAATGTATTTTATTTTTAAAAATTCTTTATCATTGAGAGTATTACAGATGCTCCCCTTCAATCCCCCCATTGCCCCCCTCCACCGGGTTCCAGCCCCGCCCCAGGCCTTCACCACTCTATTGTCTGTGTCCATAGGTAATGCATATATGCATATAGATCTTTGGTTAATCTCTTCCCATACCTCCTCACCCCTTCCCTCTGATACTCGTCAATCTGTTCCATGTTTCCATGCCTCTGATTCTATTTTATCCATCAGTTTATTTTGTTCATTAGATTTCTTATTCATTTATTTTGATTTTTAGATTCAACTGTTGATAGATATGCATGTATTGCCATTTTATTGTTCATATTTTTATCTTCTTCTTTTTCTTCCTCTTCTTAAAGAATACCCTTCAACATTTCATGTAATACTGGTTTGGTGGTGATGAACTCCTTTAGCTTTTTCTTGTCTGTGAAGCACTTTATCTGACCTTCAATTCCAAATGATAGCTTTGCTGGGTAAAATAATCTTGATTGTAGGTCCTTGCTATTCATCACTTGAAATATTTCTTGCCACTCCTTTCTGGCCTGAAAAGTTCCTATTGAGAAATCAGCTGACAGTCATATGGGCGCTTCTTTGTAGGTAACTAACTGCTTTTCTCTTGCTGCTTTTAAGATTCTCTCTTGGGAGCTTTTTAGTTTGCTGCAGTCTACTTCTTTTGTTGCTTGCACTTTAGGTGTCATATTCAAGAATCACTGTCAAGACCCATGTGACAATTTCCTATGTTTTCTTCTGGGAGTTTTATAGTTTCTGGCCTGACATTTAAGTCCTTAATCCATTTCGAATTAATTTTTGTGAGTAGTGTAAGGTAGGGATCTACACTGGGTGTTTTTAATAGATTTTAAAACTGAATATATGAATGGGTAAAGGGAGAAATGAGCCCTAGAGAGAACATTGAAAATAAGAGCTCAGTTTGCCAAGACAGACTCCTGGCAGACACCCCAGTGGGTTCAGGCATCAGTCAAGGACAAGCAGAGAGGGCAAATGCGGACCCGGCCTGGGGGCTAGAAGGCAGCGCACTTTGGAGGAGACAGTGGGCAATGGGCCTGCTTCATTTGCTCATTCAGCAGATGTTCTGAGCCACCTACTCTGGGGCAGCAGCGAACATGAGTCCCCCTGCCCTCTGGGAGCTGAGATCCAAGGTGTCATGTGTGAGAGTGGCAGTGGCCCCTGGGAGAACCTGGACAGGTGCGCCCCCATGGTGGCATCGTCCTGCTAATGTGCTTACACCAGGAACAGGAATTGTGGTAACAGTAGCCACCTTTTACAGGGAACCACCTGTATTAGTCAAGACCATTTCCGTTTTAATAGAAACTCAACTCGAACCAGCTTAAGCCAATTAAAAAGGACATTTTTGGTTTAAGTATTAAATTTCTAAAAATACCAGGGGCTAACTGGCTTCTGGCACGACCGGGTCCAAGCGCTCCGAAGATATCATCAGGCCTCCGGGTCCGCTCCATCTGCTGGCTCTGCTTTCTCCTGACTTCACTCTCCTGGCTTCCTTCTCCAACGGCCGCATGGTGGCTGTAGGCTAATGATCTCAGCAGAGAGGAAGCACCTCTTTCCTGATTGTTCCAGAAGCTTTGGGGCGCTGTTAGAGGGACCGGTTCAGCTTAGGTCTGATGCCCAGGCCTGAGCCAGTACTTGCAGTCAATACTGGGATGTGCTGATTGGCCGGGGTCTGGCGGTAGGTGTGGGAATGGGTGGGATAGGGCACAGGGATAGGCGGGATAGGGACTGAGAACGAAGGAAGGTGGTGTCCAAAAGAGGGCAGGGCTGTCACTAGGCCGCCTCGCAAGGCCCTACACCTATTATGCTCCAGGCACAACACGACGTGTCCATTACGCCTCCCAACAGTCCTATGTGATGAGGCCATTGTGGTCCCATGTACAGATGCAGAGGCTGGCTCAGAGAGGCTGAGTACCTGCCAGCGTTTGCATGCCTAGTAAGTGGAGGAGCATGGATTCCTTTGTACCAGACAGAGCAGGTCAGGGGGGAGGCCGCAGCCTCTGAACTACAGCAGGAGGTCAGAGACAATGTCACGGCCTAGTGAATGAAGGGGGAGCGGTAAATGGGAACAATCAAGCCACTCCCCAAGCCCCACGGCAACATCTATCCTCTCGTTCAACGTTCCCTGAGGCAGGTGGTGCAGACCCAGCAGCCAGACTGCTTGGGTTCCCTGGAAAACAGAGCCTTTAGCAAGGGATTAAGTGCTGAGACTTAACGTGGAGGTGGAATTCCAGGGCAGCAAGTGAGGGAAAAGAGAGGGGAGGCGGAGAGGGATGGGAAGCGGCGCAAGATGACGTAGAACCATCCTGCCACTGCTTTACAACCAACCACATGTGGAAAATGTGCCTCCAAGGGTCCCGGGCTGGGAGAGGGAGTTCTTCCTCCCACCTCGGCTCCTACTGCTCAGAGGTCATCCAAGAACTGACTCCCTCCACTCTCTGGGCGGAGTCCTCCAGCCCCTTTGGCGGCTGTTCAGGAATCAGCCCCCTTATCCTGGGATGTGGTCTGGAGTCGGGGGGAGGGGCGGGGGGGCTCAGCCTCTGGGAAGGCAGCTGGTCAGCTTCGGGTGTGGATCTGTGAGGATCCCATGGAGCCTATCAGCCATGGAGGCAGAGCAAACAGGAGTGATGGACAGGGGAGCGGAGAGAATCTTAGAGGGACGCAAGATGCGTGCTATACAGCCACCTTCTAGCTTCATGCTGTGACTTCTCCATGCCCGTTACCCTCCCAGTGAGAGGGAGTAACAGTCTGTCGCCTGAGTTGTTGAGAGGATTGGAGGTAATGCATGCAAAGCGGTGAGTAGTGTCTGACCCCTAGGAGGTCAGCTGGACTGGTGGTCGTGATCTTACCTGGGGGGGCTTGGGGTGCTGTCCTGGCTAAGCTGTGTTAGCCTGACTCTCCATTGCCAGCTGCCTCAGATGAAGGAAAGGCTGTATTGGCTCACAAAACCGGAAGGCCTGCAGGTGGGGTCAGCACAGCCGGACCCAGGGGAGACTGAGTCCCAAGGGATGTGGCCCACGGTGAGGTCACGACATGAGCATCGGGAAAACACTGTCCTTGACCTCCAAGGGCTGACCTGAGCAGAGAGACCAAGAAGACCCGGCTGGAGCACCTGTGAAATGAGGCTGGACTACATTGGGAATTATCAACTTGACATCCTCTGGACTTCTGGGATGGAGCCATGATTTGTTGGTCCCAAGTAAAAAAAAAAGACGAAAAAGATCTTCATTTTTTGGCTGGATCTCAACTCCATGACTTCATCCGAGCTTGCTCACAGTGATTGTCAGCTCAGACACGTAGTTGGTCTTTACAAGTTCAAGAAATACATTTGGGGAAGTGGATTGTGGCTTTGTGAATGAAGCCTGTTTAGTAGATGTAATCCTTCAACTGTGGTATCCACACGGGAAAAACAACATCGGTCAAGGGGGATGAAAAGGTGAGGACTGTGGCTACAGCTCATCTTGACTGTCCTTCCCATTGGACACCGGGATCCCAGGAGGCCCTTTATCAGGAACACCTAAACACCATGCGCCACTTCGGAAGCCACAGGGCCCATCAGCTGTGTGACCTTGGACAAGTCATTCTACCTCTCTGAACCTGCTTCTTCAACTATAACATAAAAATCAAAACACGTACCCGCACAACAGACTTGCACATGGCTGTTGTAACAGTTTTATTCATAATAGTCAAAATCTGGAAATAGTCCAAATGGTCAGCATCCCATAACTGGATAAACAAACTGTGGTACGTCCATACAGTAGCACACTACTTGGCAACAAAAAGGAATGAACTATTGGTACACGCAACAACATGAATAAATCTCCGAAACATGTTGACTAAAAGAAGCCAGACACAGGAGAGAACACACTATGTGATATTTATATGGAATTCTAGAAAAGGCAAAATGAACCTTTAGAATATAGGTAGGTCAGTGGTTCTCTGGAGTTGGGGAAGGAGGGAACTTGAATGCTGGTGACAGGTACAAGGGTGTAACTCTAACTACTTATGAATTGGACACTTAACATGGGTGGAATCTATTGCATGTAAAGTATACCTCAATGTTGACTTTCTAAAAATGAGATCAAAGAAAAACATTGTCGTTCTTAGGACCCTTTCTATGATAGAAACCCAACTCCAGATAGTGTTCGGAGAAAACAGCATTGGCTCATATAATCAGGTTAGTCCAGGGGTGCAGTTGGCTTCAGGCACGGCTTGATCCAGGGGCTTACTGATGTCTGGATAGAATACACTCGCCTTCTCTTTGCTCCTTGTTGGCTTTATCCTCAAGCAGAGAACAGGATGGCCACCAGCAGTTCCAAACTTGGCAACTTCTGTCCACTTGGCAACTCCCACAAAAACCGAATGCCTCTTTCCTCATAGTTGCTGCAAAAGTCCCGAGGGGAAGTCTCAGCGTCCATCCTGGGACACATGCCCGCCTCTCAAGCCAGGGGGTGGGACTGGCCCCACCTGAACACCAGGGGTACTTGGTGGGGGAGGGGTGATCCTCTGAAGGGAAAGACAGGTATTGTCAGAAGGGCCATGGATGCTGCCCAGCACCTCTCTCCACGTCCCCGGGGCAATGTCATCAACTGTTCCTACCTCCAGGCACCTCGGCAGTGGCCAGGTCGTCAGGGACAGGCCCCAGACTCATTCGAGGTCCTCCAAGGCTGCTTTTCTGTGATGTCACAGGGCTCTGCCTGTTGATACAAGAGTCAAAACAGAAATCAAGTGCTAACCTCTTCCCCACCAGAAAGCCCTTCCCGCCTGTGCTGGGCTGTCTGCACCCCGAGGAGGTGGGCAGATGGAGTGGGAGGATCTGTAGCAGCTACTCTGGCCCAGGCCCAGAGGGAATGCTTTGGAGCTGAGCATCCGGACTTGTAGGATGAACTTGAGGAGGTACAGGATGCCTCTGTGGGCCAGAATGCAGGGCAAAGGGGTGAGGGCTCTAGCTTATCAATTTAGAACCACCATCCTAACAGGGTCTGGGCAGGAAGGCCAAAGAGAAAGCTGACAAAAGGGGGTCTCTTCAGAGATCAAGGACAATAAGGTACCACCCAGCACGCTGACACTCAAACCTCACTTCCTGAGCAGCGCACCTAGTGTTAACTGAGCATCTTCTCCGTGCCAGACCCCACCCAGAGTTCTCGGGTGAAGGGGAGGGAAAGGGAGCGACAACTTCCTATCTATAGTCAGAATACGCCTACAGTGTAGCACCTTCCTACGGACACTATTGTGCCCAACGAGGCAATAGGCTCAAAGAGATGGGGCTTTACCCAGGGCCCCGGCTAAGTGGCTGCCCTGGATCAGACTCCTGGCAAAGGCTTGTCTGCCCTGCCCCGCCCCAATTCCAGGAGCTCTGAGCTCGTGGCTCAGCCTGATTGCTCAAGGCTGCTAATTGAGCTGAGATTATTCCTGACCCAGGAAAGCCAAGGCGGTGCAGAACTATCTCCCAATCCGGCCCCCAAGGGATACGGGCAAGAGCAGCCTGAGGGGCCCACCGCCCTGTTTCCCATCACGGGGCTGGCTGAGCAGGCCTGCCTGGCCATCCGGCTTTCTGGGAAGCAGGTTAAATGGGTGTCGTTGCCAACAGTGTGCACTCTGCCGCAAAGAGCTGGGCGGGGAGCAGGGCGAGAGCCAGACAGAGGAAGGAGAGAGCCAAGGCCCAGCGAGGGAAGGTGTGGCCAACGCCCGGCCCTCCCGGCCAAAGGAAGCCCGTGGGCCTGGCCCAGAGCCTGGGAAAGTGGTGTTCTGGGCTCCCACCTCCTGTCTCCACCCGCCATGTCCGAGGTAGGCTGGCCCTCCGGCCTGCAGCCCTGCCCGGGGCACAGCCGACCGCTTCCTGGAGCTGACAATGAGCCTGCCCGTTAGTTCCCTGCACTGGCATCCTGCCCAGCTGACCCTCAGGTCCTCGGCGTCCAGCTCTGTAGGAAAGAGAGAGGGGCAGGCACAGTAGACCTATGCACCCCAGCAGGGGTCCTGATCCTTAAGGGCCGCCAGCTTGGAGCAGGGCCCAGATGAGCAAGCCCCACGCAGGCTGCGCTCCTGAGATGCCTCTGTCCAGGCAGCGAGCAGGGAACCAGTGGGCCGCAGGCTCTGAAAATGGGGCAGTGCAGCGGGCTGCGTGGGGCGGGCTGTGGGTCCAGGCTGGCCAGTGCACGCAGCACCGGGGACACTGAGGGACAACCCCCCAGTCTCCCTGTGAGGCAGACACACCCTCCAGGAGATAGTGGCACCCACCCACCCACCTCCAGTATTTCATCAGCACAGTAAGCTATGGGTTAGTAAGCGTTGATATGCTTGTTATAATTATATAAGCTCAATACAAATAACAATTACTGACAGCACTGACCTTGGGAGTCAGGAGCCGCAGACCTCAGGCCCACCTCTGCCACATCCTAGCTGTGTGTCCTCGGGCAAGTCTCCTGATCTCCTTGGCCTCGGTCTTCCTTCTGTAAAATGAGGATCAAAGGATGACTCTGAGCAGCCGAGAAAAGACAGGAAGTGAAAGTCTGCCAACTGCAAATGGTCACATCGCCTGATCCGCCTCTGGGGGCACAGCTGGAGCAGCCTCCTCCTGCCTCTCACTTGTGGGCAGATAGCGGATAGTGCTCTGGCTGCTTCACAGCATCAGCTGAGGACCATCTGGAAAACAAACACAGATGCCAACCCCCAACAATTCAGAGCCAAGTGGTCAGGGGTGGGGTCCGGGCCGTGGAGTGTGTGTTTAACACAGTGAGTCTTGGGTGACTAAGGTGGAGAAGCAATGCAACAGCCCGCGTTTCTAGCATCCTCCCCGACAACTTCATCCATCTGGAGAGACCCAGTGCAGCTCCAACACCCTCCAACGAGGTGAGGTCTCTGAGCTCCCTGGCTGGAGGCATGCTTCAGCCCATGGTCCATCAGCCCACGTGGCAAAGAGAAAATAGAGACTTTCTGGCTCCCCAGGGCACAGAGCCATCACTCAAATGGGTGACGAGCCTCGCCCGTTTTAAAAGCCTCAGTCCTGCTAACTGGATGGGGGTGTACACGCACAGGGGGAAATGCTGGAAGGATGTACTTCATTAGCAGACATTATCCCCAGCCTTGGGCATTGATGAGCCTTTTTCATCCTTTAGTATTTTTGAAATGTTCTTCCGTTCAAGGCAGTTCTTTTGTAACGGTGCGGGGGGGAGGGGGGGGAGGCAGTATTGTTTTAATTTTGATGTATTGCCTTTTCAAAAATTAATACAGCGTCTTGCGCAAATGTTTTGGGGTAAAGACTGAGGAGCACGCTCAGGAACAAGGAGTTTTGGGGGAGATGGAAGGGCAGGTCAAAGGTGCCACAGGGACAATTAATTTGAAGTTAGCAAATGCTTAGCTGATGAGGATGGAACTCGGTGTATTACCCCGTGTCCACTGTAATCTGAGAATCTCATTCCACAAAAGCTCCACCTACTGCTTACCAGGGCAGGGTATACACCTCCCACAGCCCCTTGATAACTTTACCTTGGAGCTGCCCCTCCCCTCGGGCAGTAAAGCGAGGAGGGTCCGGTGCAAATCCAGCCCCTTGGAAACTGTCTGGGAGAGCTGGTGTGGAGGCAGGCTCAGACAACAGGGGCCCGGGCAGCAAGGGGCCCGGCTGGCCAGGAATGAGGATCATGGCGGTCCAGGCTCCACATATGGTCTTCTTGAGTGATGAGAGCTTTCGAGTCGGCACCTGGGAGGGAACCTGAGAAATACCTGGAGGGTGACTCGCCCCTGCTGACCGGTAGGTCAACGGGACACGAGATGGGGCTTGTTGCCTGTTCACTGCCTCGTCTGTCCATCCACAGGCAGCCCAGGGCTCAGCCTCAGCTAGACAGGAAGATTCTGTTGCTGTGGGATTTGGTGACTTAAAAAAAATGTTTTTTATTGATTTTAGAGAAACATCGATTAGCTGCTTCCCGTATGCATCGAGACCAGGAACTGAACCTGCAACCTAGGTATGTGCCCTCACCGGGAATCGAACCAGGGACTTTTTGGTGCATGGGACCACACCCTACCAACCCAGCCAGTGTGGGATGGTGACATGCTTGGACTGGTGTTCCTGGGTTAAGGGGGGAGGGGGGACATGTCACAAATTGATATTTTGGCTGCTTAACAATCCCCACTCAAGGCCTTGGCTTAACCGAAATATCTGTGGGGTGGGGACAGAAGAGGTGGGGTTGGGGGCATCTACTGAGAATGGAGGAGATTCAGGAAGTGAAATAGGGAGAGAAAACACCCAGCAAGCTCCAGGGTCACCTGAGGGGAGAGGGGAGGGGAGGCTTGAACCCCCTGCAGGCGTATTTGCAAACTGGCCAGCTCATTGGGTCTGAGGGAGGGGACTGAGGCTCTTTCTGTGTTAAGACACAGTGCCAGTTCCTGCCCAGGGGCCCCTCAACGGTTTCAGCTTCTCAGGAAAGTGGGCACCCGGCCAGCCCAACACTGTGGCCCTCGACCTACCTGGCCCCAAGGCCGCCCTTCCTCGTGCCCTGCATGTGCAGCTGGGCCCTTCTGAACCTTCACCCGCACAAACCCAGGAGACTCCAATCCACCACCGAACAATGGTCAAAACATATGCAAGGCAATGCGTCGGCCCAACGAACGCGTTTTCATAATCAGCAAGTCTCAATTGGACCCCTGGAAGCCCGTCCCATTCCTCAGCGGCCAGGTGGGTGAGGGGTGGGTTGCCAGCCACTGCCCGATGCCCACTGCAAGAGCAATAAGGATTTTTAGGGGCATTATGACTTGAGTCAGAAAACACAGCTGCCCCTGAAAGTCCCTTATTTTTCTTGCTGTCCTTGACAACTCCAGGTGAGTCCGCAGTCGACTGGCTGGCAGGTGCGTGAAGATGGTGTCCCCTCACCTGACCCTGGCCCACCTCCCCACCGCTCAGGGGACGCTCTGCTGGGCAGGGGGCCGCGGGTCTCCACAGTGGCACACTTTTCCCCAATGCTTGGTCTGGCCAGAGACTGGCCTCACTGCCCCAGGGCACGCCCAGGAAGGACTAGCCTTTGCTCCACCCAGACAAGTCAGAACCCAGTGCCTTCTGCCCACAGGCAGCCGTGGACTGGAGTCTTGGCGGAATCGCAAGTGGACAAGGGCAGCCCAAGAACCAGAGGGTGCGGTGTGACCAGGAGAAGGGTTGTCAGGCCCCGTCTTCCCCTGCAGAGACCCACCTCCTAAATGACAGTCCCGGGCCTGACGCTGACGCACAACCAGAAGAGCCGGCGTTAACTTCCTCAGACGCCAGGCCTGGTTCAGGTAGGAGAGAACCCTGGGAGGCGCCCCGGAGACCAACCCCAGCCACTCCTTTCCCTAAACCCTCTCCAAACAAGAGCTTAAAGACACAAGATTCTGAGAGGGACCGGCCCTGGCTCAGCTTCCTCCAGCAGCCGTGGCCTCAGTTACCCTGTCTGTAAAATGGGCCCAGGAGGCCACTACCGTCTCTCCCATTTCAAAGAAAAAGCATAAGAGGAAGTGTGAGCATTTCAGCTCTGTCACATCCACTGCTCCTGAAAAGCTTACAGTCACGGACCCTCTGTCCCGGGTGGGAGGCAAGAGGCTGCAAACTGGGAAATGGCACAGCCCTGGGGGAGCCCAGCCCTCCCTCTACAGAAGGCAGCCGCTTCCCAGGGGCCGTAGTCGGGAGTCAGACACTCCCCCTCCTCCACCAAACAGCCTATGCTGAGCCAAGACTTCTGTGTGTCCCCACGGTCTCCAGGTTCAAATCAATGAGCTGGGAGGCGCGGGCTGGGGTACCGTGAGGGGATGGTCAGAGTGGCCAACAAGACAGGGAAGGGGCTGTGACCGATTGTGCTGCTTATGAGGCTGAAAGGGCTTCCGGAATCCACGCCTGATCTAGGGTCCTCCTCTAAGCCGTGCTCCCCTCTGCCCGCAGGTCCTCCGGGCAGCGGAAGCTCAATCCCAGCATCAGGGCCCGACAGGAGGCCAGTCCACAGAACCCAGGACGCTGACTCCTCTGCACTCCACCACAAGGAATGCCACCCACTGACAGGTAACTAGTCCCGTGAAGCCAGGCCATTCTACCAGAGCCTGGGTTGGGCTGGAGTCTGCCCAGCTGACCACTAGGAGCCTCCCCACCCAGACTGGCACCGTACCCTTGGGGCCTGCTCATCGGTCCAGCTGTGTGGCAGGACCCGAGGCCACTCAGAACATGGCGGCCCCACTGTGGTGAAAAGCACAATCCCCAGAGGACAGACCTGGCCTCTATCTGCTTATCAGCCTTCTCTCTGCCTTCACCCCTGTAAGTAGGACTAGATCAGCCCAGGTTGCAGGGGGGTGTGAGAATTAAAGGGAAGAAGGATTCAAAGCTCTTAGCTGGCTCCTTAACGAGAGCGGATTCCCTCTCCCAGCATCTTCCCCCTTCCCCATCAGACCCCAAGGGCTGGGCAGGGCTCTGGCCATGGAGAATTCTTCCCCCCCCTCCCCCGGCTGCTCCCTGAGCTCTGCCCTGCACCTTCACTCCACACCCCAGGTCCTGTCGTGTTCAGACTGCGAGGAAACACGCTGGGAACCCCAGCTACGGCCTCAGCCCTCTCAAAACGACATCACGGCAACTGTCACCTCACCCAAAGGTTTCTGCCCTAACCAAGGTCACGGCCATACACGCCACCAGCAAACCCCAAGCTGTCCACACACACTAGGATCTGAGCCATTCAGCAGCAACCCCCCATCATGCTTTGCCTACTCCACAACCCCGGGTCTGCACAGCCTCTGTGTGAGCTGGTGCCCTGGCCCCGAAGCAGTGGGATGGAGTCAGAGGGTGAGACCCGGTTCGCCACGTACCAGCCACAGAACCCTGGGCAAGCTGCCCACCCCTCTGGGCTTCAGTCTGGTCCTTTCTGAGATCAGTGGGGTCGTTGGAGGATTAAATGAGTTCATTCCCATCAGAGGCTGAGAGCGGGCCTGGTACGAAGCATTTGATTGGGTAAGCTATCATGACCATCCCCTGCTTTCTTCTTCAAGATTTACTCACCTCTTCTGGGTGCTTTTCTGGGCCCCTTCCACCTCCCCGCCCCCCCCCCCCCCCCCA